TCGTGTATTACAGTTAATTCAGATGTTTGTGGACAGAAAACACCGGTATCTTGTTATAAAATATGATGTTATCTGCCTGTAAAGTGGTCTTTCGTTAAAATCTGGTCATTTATGCAGTTTAATTCTACAATTTCCAGGTATATTCTTGAGTTCCTTAGGAACGTGATGGGGACCACCCCCTTAAAATAGTTGGGGTACGTGTCGCTTGTCACCCCCGTCCATGCTATTCACCAGAAGACAAGGCATTATACAGGCATTATACAGTAATTCGGCACCAAATCCTGAATTTACGTGATTTCCAACATTTTTTTATATGAAGAGAGTAGAATAGTAGGCCTATTTCAAATAAATCAATTTTCAGTCATTATTATACTTTTTAAAATATCAACAATTATTGTACACTATTTGCAAATAAATTTGGTTTATTGTATTAGCTATAAAATTTAATTGGTGTTTTTAGGTAAGAAAATATAATAATAGGCCTATCTCTTATACACATCTAGACACACTGGGCAGGCCTCACTATTTGTCAATTAATCGTACCTATCATTGTATTTAAAATTAAAATTGAATTATTGTTGTAGATCCATCTACCCTGAAATTAAATATTACAGAGGTTACTATAATATCTAACAATTTCCGTGTTTACATTCTGGGACGTGACGTACGTACGTACGTACTTGCGTACGTACGTACGTGTGTTGCGTAAATGAGTACGCGCAGACTGTTAAAGGTATATTAACCAATCAAAAACGTCAGCGGCAAATCAAATTAAAGCGCTTCGTAACCAAGGCACAGCACACACATCCTAGGCAGGGCGTATAAGCCCAGTGAAATAGTTCAGTTTTCTTTGCTATAGTGGGTACATTTTGGTAAACTTTTTGTATGTTGTAGATATAAAATTTAACTATACATATTCATAAAAAAACGTTTTGTTGCAATTATGTCCAACTTCGGTGCTTCAAATCCGTATTTCTGGTGGACTAGTGCGTTTGTGGGACAACACGTGTGTTTGTAAGACGCGCGCGTATTCCTAGGGTTGTTCTGATTAGTCAGTTGTTAAGTTTGATTGACATTCCGGAAAGGTCTATTATAAAGACAAACGGAATCAATAGAGATATACTTGTGAGAATTTATGATTGAACGTACTTATCGTAGAGGACTATGTCGGGCATCCACACCAGGTTAGATGGGATCTTTATCGCCGTCAGATTACCGAAGTCTTCAGGTTTCCATTGTAAATATTCATCACGCCATACCTAATAAAAATAATTATTAAATGTGTGCCAATTACGGTCGATTTTTAACAAAATCACGATTCCATCACTCTGTCATTATTACCATCATCATCAGTGATCGATTCAATTGGTGGGGGCGGCACCCCTCCCCTCCTCTAAATTTATCAAAATTATTTTTTAAAAATGGAAAAAGTAAAGATTTTAATCAAATTTAGGTCTGAGAGTCCAATTTCCGGTAGTGCCATAACCATACATTTTCTTAGACCCTCTATCTGTTAAAGTCCCTCACTGGACCCCCTATATTTCGAATTCCTGGATCCACCACTGATCATAATTACAATCATCATCATCATCAACATCACCACCGTCATTATCACCATCATCATTATTATTATCATCATTGACAACATCATCATCATCATAATGACCATCATCATCGTAATCATAATCATCAACATCATCACCATCATCATGGATAAATAACAATATGCTAATAAAATATATACGGTATGTGTCGATTTGATGTTTAAGTCCTTCATATATATAGGCCTAGGTGATGACACGTAGTATTTAGTCACTGTCTTCATGAATATGCTGCTTGTAAAATATTCAGTTTGAGTTCAAACAAGTTTCTTAAGTGGTGTACACTTTAAACATTCGTCGCGATAAAGTCTACACCTGCATGTATTATTTTATTTATTTATTTACTAATATCTTTAGCCAGGATGACACAATCATTTTAAAGAAATGATTAATTAAAAGTATCATGCTCTTCTTGGATAGCGAGAGGTTGCAGGTTCGAGTCCTGCCAGCTGCACAATTTTTCATACAACTGATAAGAAAGTGTGTTGTAATTAATATAGGCCTACATATAAATATAAGGTAGAAACAGGTCTCGATATATATATATATA